CAAAGGCCTCTTGGGGTGCTCTCTTAGCAATAAATATATTGAGTGACTAACAACCAATCCATCTTCATCTATTTATTAAAAAAGCTATTTGAATATTTAATTTCCCCTAGTATATACGGCATCTCCCCTGATCATGTTACAATAGGAAGAATGCCCTCCCTGGATGGAGCCACTGGCCATTGGTTTAATTCTTGGAGTGATGAAGCACAAGTTTGTCTAACTAGGGGCAACTAACCAAAGTAGCTCAAGCTTATTCTACAGATGGAGGAAGCCCAAGACCTGCATTCACTGACATTCTCTCACTATTGGACGAGAACCGCCGCAGAAGTACAAAGTCTGTTTTTGATGAATTGGGTACACAAACAGTGAGGACCATTGGTCATTAGAAACCAATCTACCTGAACCCTCAATTGGGTTGAACCAAACAGTGATTTGTTTTGCTAATAATAAGTTGCTTTTCTCTAAAGCTGCATTGTTAGTTATTCATAAGCCCTCATCTACTAAGGCAAATCAAAGGCAAAGCTGCCGACAGTCTAACCTTTACAGAGGCTGATAAAGAGAGAAAGACTGGTAGAGAGAGAAGGAAAGGAGTCAGCTTATCATTGAATGTTTACATTAAATTAAAGTACATGTCTCTTCTATCTTTTTTTTTTTTTTTTGGAAATTATCTATATGTGTTTTCAGCATCTCTTAAATTCATCACAACTTTTCAAAATATCTAAAACTCACCATGTCATTAATTTGATGTTATACAGACTAACAGACAATAATATATTACCATTTAAGCCTTCATAGAAAATATAAAACATATACAAAATAAATTAACGGGTGTTAATTTTTTATGAAGGTTATATTAACACCCGTTAATTTATTTTGTATATATTTTATATTTTCTATGAAGGTTAAAATGGTAATATATTACCACCCATTAGTTCGTGTAACGTTAAATTAGTGACATGGTGAGTTTTAAACAATTTCTCTATTTTCGATACTCTTGTATCTCTCCCTTTCATCATAATTATGGATGCCCATTGGCCGACTTCTTTATGTTAAGAAAGGATAGGATCTCTACAACCGTACACACTACAACTGTTTTGTGTTGAGTATTTTGATGCTTTTTTTTTCCTCTTGCTTTTGTGCTTGCACATGGGCAGGTGTAGAAGCATTACCATTCATATTGGACTTAGATATAGGGGGCCCAAATTGGAATCTGTCTCAACATGGGCCTAAACAACTCAAACCCAACCTACAACTGATTCTTGAGTTCCTTTAGCACATGGACATAATGTTTTGGTGTGATGATATGATCACACTTATAATTGATAAGAAGAAAGTACTATCTTAAAGAGACAAAAATACCCTTGTATATTGATCTTTTGTTGTTATATCTAGGGTTGGCTTCTGTCTTTTTAACCAGGGTTTCTCATTTATGAAGGCAATGTGTGCTGAAATCATTATATACCTTGGTATTTTGTAACAAATGCCTCTCTATGTCTTACCTTGTGAATGATTTTTTTAGTGTACAGATGCAAAGAATCTAGACAATGCCTGGCCACTAGTAGAAAAAAACAAGGCTAAAGTATTCAAGAGCTTTCTATAATTGTTATCTCAAGTATATAAAAAAAAAGAAACCACTATATATTTGTCATGAAAGATATGCTCATGAGCCATGACCCTCTTATTCTTATTCCCAAGCAGAAGCTTTGTTAAATTTTTTTGTTTATTTGCAGCATGTTTTTGAATAGAGCAGAATTTGATACATTATTTCTAGCTTGTTTAGATGATTAGGTTTAAGGATTAGAGCAAGGGTTTGAAAAAAAAATATTCAATGTTGGTATTTCATCTTTCTTGAAAAATTGTGGATATGATCTTRGAATTTTGCTAGAACTGAATTGCATTTGGGAGTGCAAGTCCTGAATTGCAAGGCCTGTTCGAACAGCCTTTATAGCCTTGCATTGGGAATATCTCYCCATGAAATAAAGCACATAAGTACGGAGATATTCCAAATGCAAGGTTGTAAAGTCTGCTAGAATAAGTCTTGCGCTAACTGAAGCCAACCTCATTTTCCTATTTTTTCCATTAGTAAGGTGTAAACTATTCTCATCTACATGTTTTTTTTTTTTTTTGGTAAAGACACACACATGTTTGATTCAACTAGAAGGATCTAATCTATCTTCGTTTGTTTTGAACTCTACAAAGCCTTATAATGTATAATCCATATAAAACTGTCCCCTCAACCAAGCTCCCACTTAGAGAGAGAAAATAATTAAGGAGAATAAAACTAAGCAATGCAAATTCCATAGCAGATATGGGCTAGTGTTTTTAAATTTTACCACACCACATCTTTTAGGTAATGGAATGATTTTAGTGGTGTCTGTTGTTTTGCCATTACCCAAAGGTAGAAAAATTGATATTTGTTGTGCAATGAGAGGAGTTACCAAAATCAGGAAGCTCGTATACATGTATGACTTATAAAAGTTGGACACCACCTTTTAACCCAAAAGCTTAAGTCATTGAATTGTGGGCAAATCCTAGTATGCAAGTCCCTTGCATCTCTTTTCTTTTTCTAAAGTGAGTCTTTTCATCTCACATACTCGAGTCTGGATCACTTGCCAATGGTACATATTCCAACCCTTTACCAACATGACCTCACACCACGTATCTTATACATTATAGGTCCTAGTCTCATGGTGAGGTGTGCGGTGTTAGATCAAGTTGGTAGAGGGTTAGGAACATGTTTTGTTGGCAGAAAATCCCTCCTCCATACACTCACATATGCACATCCCATCGATATCCTCATCTATATTTCGATAAGCTTGAGCACTTTTTAGCTATCAATACGCTTAGATAGGTTTAGCTTTAGTCAATACCCATTAGAATGCCATTTTTGTTTATCAATTAAGATTTTTTAAAGTTGGTAGTTATCTCAATTCCTTTATGTTATGTGTATTAGCAACCTTAAAATGGATATTTATTATACCATAAATATTGATCCTTTGAACCTTGCATAGTTGCATATAAGAAGAAATTGATTTATTTTCCTTCTTTTTCTCTTCATAATAAACATTACTTAGGTTGTGAAATATGAACAATGAAAAGGTACCTCCCCCACCAAAAAAAGCTAAGATTTATAAAATTTGACATCTAACCCTTTTTTTTGTATTTTTCTTTATTTTGGTTAAAGTAGAAAGATTAAAATTGTGACATTTATCACCAGTAATTGCTTTAATTAGGGTAAGTACAATGTACATGCAACGTGAAGACCTCTAAAAATTGAAATTTTACAATTAATAATTAATGTCCTTTTATAATGGTCCAAATTCTCTGTAAGGTTTGGTACTTTGCTTTTATCTTTGGCTTAGTTTGGGAAGAGTATAAATACAAATAAATACAGTGTAAAACCTTATACTTTGTATTTCTTAAAATTTGTACTTATACTGTACATATTTGTATTTATACTCTTTCCAAACTGAGCCTTTAGAACATTCAACAATAACTTTAATATTAATATCCTTTTCTCAATAATGCAGAATGTCAATTCTTTATTGTTTGTCAAGGATGAGGCTGCCTACATTCAATTACCACCCATTTTCTTTATCCCCTCCCTTCCGTGAATTCAAATCAGCCCCCCTACAAAATTGTTCATCCCCACCGTATACTAGGAACATCTTCCGATGATGACATCATCATTTCTAGTATTATTATCAGGAGATATTTCTAATATACAGCATATAGGACGTTATGGGGGTTGATTTGATCTCCCCTTTGATTTTCTGAAAAAACATCAAATTGAAATCAAACCAAATTAATCGATAATTAACTATCCGTTTGATTAACTATCCGTTTTTATATTAATCAAAATTAAATGAAAAGTGGAATTTTTGAAATTTGGATTTTTAGCTTCGGTCGATCTTTCAACTTTTTGGTATTTTTATGAACACCCATAGAGAGATGCTGTTAATAAGAATAACTTTGGACCGAAACTCAGTCCATTTTAATAATGGGTCTAAAATTTGGGCCCACCCCAACCAAAGCCCAGGGACAATGGGGCTTGTAATGGGCGAGGAGGCAGATATGCACCTCCATGTCTCATACACGCCAAGGCGTATTAAGTAGTTTAGGAATTCTTTTAAAGTTGCCCATCTACAGTCAAATCCCAACCTCATGACCATACAAAGACAAGAGTTCCATAGGAAGCAAGAACCTTCTCTCCCCCACTTTCTTTCCGGTTGTCTGCAGGCATACGGACTGACGGAAAATGACGTGGTGGTCGGTGGTCCCGATTTGGGACCCACCCCCCACCACCATGCTTCATGGCCTATAATAATACAATAGAATAATACCATAATAATAATAAAATAACATTTAATTTTGAATTTAATAATAAAATATTGAAAACTAGCGAGCAGTGGCGGTGGAGACCCTGAAGAAATCGTGATTTAATTTTAATGGACTCCCTTTTCTACTTTTTTTTTTTTTCTAGTTTTGTTTTCACCCACGGGAAATCACCCTAGAATTTTCTCGAAATTACCAAAAAGACCCAGTTCGGGCCCACCTGTCTCATCCTATTATCTCTTTAGTTCTCCCACATGGCAGCTTCCAGGAAGAGAGATCGCTATTCCAACAATCAGACGAATTGACTGGAATACCCCTACAATTTATGCCCAAAATTACTTATTGTTAAATTATAATATGGTTAAAATCGGTAATACGAGATTATTTTCCTTTGCAAACCGGTAACATGATATTACTATTTTGTCGGTAGAACAACACGACATGCACACGTTAATGCGCTCACCCACGTGACTGATTTGTCTCTCTTCATTGGTTGGCTGGCAACATTGATCACCTCCTGACCTCTTAAGTCCAAACAAATCCAACGCGTCGTCTTTTCTGTAATTATAACAAAAATAAAGGCCCTTTTTCGGAAATCCATTTTAACAGTGGAATTCCTTCTGGTTTCATATGTAAGAGTGACTCTCGTAGGGGAGATAGAAGGAGAGAGAAAGGTGAGAAGAAAAGAAGACAGTGCAGTCCAACTAATACCAACCTTACTTCACTCAAGGGAGGTCCACCTCTCTCTCTCTTTCTCTCTCTCCCTCTCTCTCTCTTTATATCCAACCATCTGTACTCTCTTCTCCTTTCAGGGCTCTACTTCCTCTCTGGCTCTCTCCTTTCGGAGCTCAAAAAGAAAAGAAAAAAAAATATTCGAAGAGAGCTGTAACCCTGAAACCAAATCAAATCAATTGAGTCCTTTTGGCTTCGGATCATTGATCGGTTTGTACGTTAATGGCGTCCCCGCCAGATACAAGCAAAACCACCAAGCTGGAGCGCTACAACAGCTACCTCCGCCGCGTGAACAGTACCAAGTTCTTAGCTGCCTCCTCCAAACTCCTCTTCCGAGTCACCCTTCTCGTTGCTCTCATTCTCATTTTCTTTTTCACTCTTAATTATCCTCCGCTTTCTGATAACCCCCACCATGTCCACCTGCATCACCACCAGAACTTCATCGCCTCGGCCTTCTACGGCAACGGCGCCACCTGGGAAAAGAAAGTCCGCCACTCGTCCACCCCTCGCAGGCCCAATGGCTTCTCCGTGTTGGTGACTGGGGCTGCCGGATTCGTCGGAACCCACTGTGCACTGGCCTTGAAGAAACGAGGCGATGGAGTTCTTGGCCTGGATAACTTCAATTCCTACTACGACCCTTCACTGAAACGAGCCCGTCAATCTCTTCTGTCCAAACACCAAATCTTCGTCGTAGAAGCTGATTTGAACGACGCTCCATTACTCTCCAAGCTCTTCGACGTCGTGCCGTTCACTCACGTCCTCCACTTGGCTGCTCAAGCGGGTGTGCGCTACGCCATGAAGAACCCACAGTCATACGTGAACTCCAACATAGCCGGGTTGGTGAATCTACTGGAGATCGCCAAATCCGCCCAACCTCAACCCGCCATTGTCTGGGCATCGTCCAGCTCCGTCTACGGCCTCAACACCCAGAACCCATTTTCCGAATCCCACCGGACGGACCAACCAGCGAGTCTCTACGCCGCAACGAAGAAGGCTGGAGAAGAGATCGCCCACACTTACAACCACATCTACGGCCTCTCGATCACAGGGCTTCGCTTCTTCACCGTCTACGGTCCATGGGGCCGACCCGACATGGCTTACTTCTTTTTCACCAAGGATATTCTCCAAGGGAAGCCCATTACGATCTACCAGACCCAGGACGACAGGGAGGTCGCCCGAGACTTCACGTACATCGACGACGTCGTGAAGGGGTGCTTAGGCGCGCTCGACACGGCGGAGAAGAGCACCGGAAGCGGCGGGAAAAAGCGGGGCCCGGCGCAGCTCAGAATCTACAATCTGGGGAACACGTCGCCGGTGTCGGTGGGGAAGCTGGTCTCGATCCTTGAAGGACTTCTGAACGTAAACGCGAAGAAGAACATCTTGAAGATGCCGAGGAACGGCGACGTGCCATTCACCCATGCTAACGTGAGCCTGGCGTACAGGGACTTCGGGTACAAGCCCACCACCGATTTGGCGACAGGGTTGAGGAAATTTGTCAAGTGGTATGTTAGTTATTATGGAATTCAATCGAGGGCAAATAAGGAAAACGGAAGTTTCGACGGCGACGGTGCCGGAGCTGAATCCTCCTGATCGTAATTCCGTCCACCGATCTTTTTTTTTTTTTATCTTTCCTTTTTGTGAATTTTTGTTTTCAAAATATTTATGTTTTCTCTTGTCCAGTTGTTCCTTGTTGGTCTTGATGTAGCATATATTTATAGGACATAAAACAGGGGAAAAAAGAAAAAGCAGGATTGAAAGAACATAGGGAACAAAGAGAGATAAAGGGAAGGGTTTGTTGGGGGTGTTTTGGCTGTAATAATGCGAGTAAAGTATGTAGCATCTGCGGTTCGAATCTGCTAGAAAGGGTGCAGATCGGCCGTCCGATTGATATCAAAGATTCGTGATTGAATTGAACAAGAAAAAGATGATATTTCGATTCTTTCTCTTTTATGCCTTCACCTCTTTTTTATAATTAACTTTTTTTCGGAATAATTATCTCTACACAATTGGAAATCTATGGTGCGGATTGATTTGAAGAAAATCTGTAGTGTGATCATATGTTGATTCCTGTTGTGCTGACCAAATTACTTAGTTAAAATAGTTTGACGTTTGATGGTGATTTCAAAACTGGGCAAAAGCTGTGAGATGTTGAAATTGGATCATAGCGTGGTTGCTAATGAAAAATAGGGTTGACAATAGCTTAACTACTTCGTCGTTTGTTCTGCTTCCAAGCGGTTGAGGATTCAGGCCGAAGTGAACTTTGGCTGTTAAGCTGAGTTGAGCTGGGTAAGTTAGGTGGTGAGTTGACTATAGTGTCGAGTTGCCTGTGAGGTGTTGGGCTGAATTGATGAGCTTCGTTGCTCTTTAGCGACCTGCATGGAGCCAAATGTCAGAGGACCCGGGGTGACTAATCCGGCGAGGTCGCTCCGATGCTTAAGTCAGTGTTCTCATAGTAAACTGCGAGATTAAAAGCACACAATATGAGAGCTAGAATTTTCTTATTTGCTTGTTTGCTCACTTCCTTGCCCCTTGTCATTGGGGTTGGTGCCTTTATATAGGCTTTGCTCATGTACCACCCCCGAGATCTCCGGGAGGTCATGTCTAATTGGTCTGAGATTTCCTAGAGGTAACTGCCATGCACGTTGACCACCCTCCAGATCGTTCGGCATGTGGGCCAACTTCCAAGGATCGTGGGAGTGTTTGGATATGCACGTCAAATTCGTCGGTGAGCACGTTTTGCAAACCGCCAGGTTGGCGCCTGGGCCAAGCTGCTAGGTTGGACACCATTAACTTGGCATGTTGTTGCCTGAGTGGTTCTGGGTGTCACCTAGTTGTTCGGAGGTGTCATGTGTCACAATGTCATTGGAGGGCAAAATCTGCCCTCATCATTTGCCCCCCACTCCCGAGTTGAAAGTAACTTCGGCGAAGGGAGTAAATTTCTCCTTGTGGCTCAGAATGAATAATTCGATGAGCTCGTAAGCATTCGATTCAATTCCTTATGTTCTGAGAGTGACTCGCAGTCTGCTCCTTGATTTTGCCCATGCCGAAGAGGCGACTTGGTCTTATGTGGTGAGGAGGTCTTCGCTAGTTCAGTATTTTGGCCCTTAAGCTCTAGGAGCGACTCGTAGTCCACTCTCCTTGATCTTGCCTATGCCGAAGAAGCGACTGGGTCTTATGTGGTGAGAAGGTCTTCGCTAGTTTGGTATTTTGGCCCTTAGGCTCTGGGAGCGACTCGTAGTCCACTCTCCTTGATCTTGTCCATGCCGAAGAGGCGACTGGGTCTTATGTGGTACCGAGGTCTTCACCAGTTCGGTACTTTAGTGCTATGGCTACACTGAATCAGCCTCGTGACGCCGGTCACCCACTCCTATAATAAGCTACCAGGAGCTCGACCTACGGGGGAAGCACTACTAACTTTAGGTCGCCAGCTCACACGGGAGCCTTGGAAGGCTCAACCATCAAGGGAGTCCATGTAGTCTGTTGGCCGCCAACTCCCGCGGAAGCCACAAAGAGCTCATCTTTGTAAAGGGGACCTCGCGAAGAGGACTGATGAGGCTTTATCCGAGTTGAAATAAAGTTGGTAGAGTTGTTTAATCTGTTAGCTATCAACTTCCTGCATAGTCTTTGAGTTCATAAAAAATGGAAACTATAAAGTGAGAGCTTTAGTTCTAAAAAGTGAGGACTTAGTTTTCTGGAAGAAGAGGATTTAGCCTTTTAGAGGATGAGAACTTAGCTTTTTGTAGCATTTCCCACAGACGACGCCAATTGATGAATCAATTTTTGGTTAAGTATCAATTTTTTGGCTAAGTACCTCGTCATTTGGTCTGCTTCCAAGCGGCCGATGACTCAGGCCGAAGTGAACTTTGGCTGTTGAGCTGAGTCGAGCTGGGCAGGCTAGGTGGCGAGCTGACTATAGTGTCGAGCTGCCTGTGAGGTGCCGAGTTGAATTGATGAGCTTTGTTGCTCTTTAGCGACCTGCATGGAGCCAAATGTCAGAGGACTCGGGGTGACTAACCCAGCGAGGTCGCTCTGATGCTTAAGTTAGTACTCTCATAGTAAACTGCGAGTTAAAAATCACACAGTATGAGAGTTAGAATTTGCTTACTTGCTTGCTTGCTCCCTTCCTTGCCCCTTGTCATTGGGGTTGGTGCCTTTATATAGGCCTTGCTCATGTATTGCCCCTGAGATCTCCGGAAAGTCGTGTCTAACTGGTCCGAGATTCCTGGAGATAACCGCCATGCACATTGACCACCCTTCAGATCATTCGGCACGTGGGCCAACTTCCAAGGATTTTGGGAGTGTTTGGATATGCATGCCGAATTCGTCGGCGAGCATGTCTTGCAAGCCGCCAGATTGTCGCCTGGGTCAGGCCGCCAGGTTGGACACCATCAACTTGGCAAGTTGTTGCCTGAGTGGTTCTGGGTGTCACCTACTTATTCTGAGGTGCCATGTGTCACAATGTCATTGGAGGGCAAAATCCGCCCTCATCAATAGGGATAAGTGCACTGCAATCCACCTTATAAATCTGAAATTATAGCCCTCTCACAAATCTACAATCCACCTCACAAATCGCATCCTACCCGTGAATTTGACATCAATCCATTAACATGTATTCTTAGTTCCACCTAGAGGTGGACTGAACTATAAAAACCCCTTTATCCACCCTTAGAAAAACCCTTTTTTTTGTTATGGTTGTGGACTTGTGGTAGTAGCCCGGTAGGCCAGTACTAGTAGTGTGGTTGAAGCCCAAGATTGAGTTAAATCTGGTTTAGATTTGAACCAGGTCTGAAACAATCCTAAATTGAAAACTAAGGGGGGAGTTGAGAGAAACGAAAGGGTCAATGTTCAGGTGCCAAGTGCCAAGTACTAATTGGCTCAACTGGTAAGGTTTTTAATTAGCTGGTCCTGGTTGTAGTAAAGACTTGAGATCAATTCCTGTTGAGGTTGTGGGGATTGGGAATGGGCTATATTTTGTTGTATAATTTAAGAAAAAAAAAGAAGAAAGAAAAGACCCAATGCTGATTCTAGTTATTTGAGGTCTTGGGAGGGGGGACTTTCGATAAGGACCTAACCTTTAACCTTTGGCATTTACCAAAGTGGCAGCATTCAAACACAAACCTACATTTTCACACAATTGTCAATCCAAGCAATAGGGCAATTACTTTTAGTAACTTCCTTTTGAGTTTCATTAATAAAATTTAGGGTAAATGGCTGAAATCTCCAATGGAGTTTAATAATTGCAATCACCTTTCCTGCATTTTCCAATACAATTGCAAGTAGAGCACCTCTAGTAGAGTGAATATTCTAAAGAAGGGCATGAAAATGTCCAAAATATCCATACAGATACTATTGAGGTTGGATTCTATGGGAAGTTACTATTGAGAACTTAAAATTGTAGTAACTTTACCTTTCAGTGATTGATATGAAGGGCAAATTTGAAAAATAAATCAATTTCAGAAAAGAGATTGAAAGGGTTTGGGGTAGTGATTCATATGAAAATTTGGAAAATGAACATTGTTGTTAAAAATAACTGATTGAGTATTTTAAACATTTTAATACCCTTTTTAGAACATTCTACCAGAGGGGGTCTACTTGCAACTATGTCAGAAAGTTTAGGAGAGGTGATTATAATTACCAAAATTCAGAGGATGTTTCAGCAATAACAAAAAACTTCAAGGGATTTTTCATTAATAAAATATTAAGGTAGCCCCTTGTTAAATCTTCTTTGTATTATTCCAATTTTATTTGCATAAATCATAGGTCATTTAATTAGTTGAGATATGCGAGAAATTTGATTAAGTTGATCCTCTTGTTAGCTAGTTTTTTTACTTGATAATTTGGTTGATATATGGAAAAGTTGACAATGTTACGTGGTAGTTGGCAATGATTGTTTTTGGAGGGGGAATTTTCTAATTTATGATATTTTTCTTGGTGTCGATTTTCTTTTTTTTTTTCTTTGTAATTTTAATTTTAGTAATACTTATCACTAATTATGGATATGCCAAGTCCAAGGATAAGCACCTAAGCCCTATTTCCAAACAAATAAAAAATCTATATAATCATTTATTTTCCTACTTCAAGCATCTCCCTTTAAAATGAAAAAGGATACGAGGGAAAGAAAATACTAAAAATTAGATTTCAGAGATGCAAACACTTTCAAATTTGCTTTCTTGGTATTTTTTTAGAAGATTTTTTGATGTAGAACAAGTTGCAGCATAAAATGTTTTTGGAGGCCTAATATAACAAAGAAAAGAAGAAAAGGCCCAAATAATCATTTTAACCACATTTTTGAGTCCTAGTTTGATTAGGAAGCCTTTATTTAAGTAAAACTGGCAGGGACCCGTGCAATGTCCGGATATGTTAAGTTAAAGATAATAGAAATATGTAAGAGTACACAATTGTTTTATATAATAATTAATAATCATCTATATTTTATATATTACTTTTAATAATTTTTTACTATATAAAAATAACAAAAATTAATTTTAGATAAGGTTGTTTATAAAATTTAGGGATGGCAAATTTCCCCATTTTCTAGATCCCCTGGGGATCTGCCCCAAATGGGGCGGGGATGGGGATGATTTTCCCCTGTGGGGAAATTTTCATCCCATTGGTGGGGACGGGAGAGCACTCCCTACGCTGCTTGGACCCTGATCCCTACCCCAGGGGATCTTCGCTATTATATATGTATATACATGCATATATATGTTTATATATGTATATATGTACATATACCTCTATATGTTAATATTTTTAAAAATATGGCTGAATATGTTTGAATCTTTTCTAGTAGGATAGTAAATTTTAATTGTTTTATTTTTATTTTTATTTTTTAAATAAAATAAAAAAATAAAGAGTCACAGGGAGTGGGGATCCCCATGGATAGAGGTGTAAAGTGTGTCATGCCGGGCCGGGCTGCCCTCCCCGGTGAAAATTTTG